AATAAGGACATAAACTTCAACCCCTCCGTCCAGCCAGTCCCTGCAGGGCGCAGATGGGGTCCCTTCCTCCTTTTTTACTCTCTTCCTCTGAGCTCTTACTTTGCGCTCCGAGCCTTTCCCACCCTCCTCTTTTCCCTCCTTTCCTTCTCTCTCTTTCTCCCTTCACCTGCCGTGGTCCTTTCCCCCCCTCCTTTCTCTCTCGCTCTTCTCCTGCCCCTATCTCTCCCAGTCCACCTTAACTCGAGCCCCGCCCCCGACCCCCATCCAGCCCTCCGCCGCTACTCTGCCCCACCCCCTGCACTCCACCGCCCCGTCCGCCCATTGGCCTGAACACACGCCCATCCCCAGTGGGTCCTGCCTTGCGCTTTGCCAGGGAGGGGGCGGAGCCGAGGGGCTGGCCTGAAACCTGGAGGAGGGGAAGGAGGAGGGGGCAGTGTCCGCATTGGCCGGGGAACCGAGCACCCCAGCCAGGGCTCCCACTGTTCAAGAGGGGCTTCTGTAGGGTCAGGACCTCGGGAGGGAAGGGTGTGAGAGTTTAAGGATAAGCTGGGTGGGGGTGAGGCAGGACATAGGGTCTTGCGGGAGGGGGTCCCGTGAGGGGCCATAATCAGGTCAGGGCCCCGGGAGGGAGGGGGAGGGGAGCCAACAGGCCTTCTGCTCCGGCCCCTACGCCCCTCCCCACTCCGAGGGAGCGGAGGAGTCGAGGCTGCGGGCACCCTGAGTCCCTCCCCACGCGTGACGGCGCCCCGCGGGGAGGGAACGGCGCCCGGGGCAAGCAGCCTCTGCGCTCCAGCCGGAGCCCGCTGCGGCCTTGGCATTGTCAGAGGGGAGGGGCCGGGCCTGCGGAGAGGCGAGAGGGAGGTGGTTCACCCTCCTGGTCCCCGCCTTCATCCCTCCTGCTCCCTAAGTGGAGAAACTGAGTCTCCGCGAAGTAGCGACGTCTTTACATGGATTCGTTCACAGACCTAGGTGGCAAAGGGGAGCCTGGATGTGTTAAGATGTGTGTTTATGTGTGCGTATGGGGTGGGGGGGGCGAGATACGTACTTCAGTGCCGTCCCCTAACTGAGGAAGGTAGCCTGAGAGGGACGCTTCCAAGTGGGCCTGCGGCGCTACGTACCCCAAAGGGCCCCTCCCACTGGTGTCAAAAGGAATCAAATACGGCTACCTCGGGCCAGGTTCCGCTCTCCCGGGCCGGCGGGGCCGAACCGGGTAGGACTTGCTTTCCCCTCCCCCCCTCTGTAAGGCACCCCCCCTTTCCAGCAGGTGGCTCCGCGGGACACCAGCTCAACCTGTTGGACCACAACGGGCGGCGCCAGGGGCCCTAGCTCTCACCCGGGCTGACCCGGGATCCCCGCGCAGGGGGAGGGGCGGAGCCCGGGTCCCTCCCTCCCTCCGTCTCCCTCCCGGGCCGTGACTCAGCCTCGGGGCCGCTGCCCTGCGCCCTAGCCAGGGGCGGAAAGTGTGAGGCGCCCCTGAGGGACCAGGCCAAACCAAACAGCCCCCCACCCCAGACATTATCTCACTGAAGAATTAGGGGGGCTATAGAAAGAAGGGGGGAGCAGCAGTCATGGGGCGCTCCACAACGGGTAATCCGCTCCGGGTTTTCGTAGCGTCCCTGCCCCCTGTGGTCCTGAGGCCGGTCACTGCTCCGGGTTTTCTCCTCTGCTCCGCCGGACAGATTCTGGTCCGCTAGAGCCCGGAGCGGGTGGGGTTCAGTCCGGGGTTTTTTCCTCCCATCACCAGCCAGCGGGGTCGCGCTGGCCTGGGGAAGGGCAGTGCCAGGGGCGAGGAAGGTGTGGCAGATGCACTAGTGAAATGGAGAGGGTGTTGCTTCGGGAAGGAGGGGGCATGGCCGAGGAAAAGGGGGGGGGAGTGGCCCAGGGAGGGCAGAGCCGGGGCTTCCCGAGGCAATAGAAGGGCGGGCGCCTTGGCACCAATCCTTGGGTACAGAGAATCGAACGGCGCTCAGTGCCCCGGGCTGCCCCCTCCAAATCTCTGGGGGTCGCGTCTGGCGGCTTGCTGGACACAACGTAGATCATTCTGAGGCCGAATTGTCACTCCCCACTCTAGTCCCGACAGTCCTGAACCCTCCTGTTAGTTCTTCTGCGACCCCCTTCCATGGTTCCATTTTCATCTGGTCCACACAACTCTCCTGTCGGCTAAGAAGTTGGAGGGGGGAACCCCGGCTTGAAAACTCCCGCCTACCCCCCTACTCTCAGCTCTTACCGCGCCAAACCACTGAGACAGCGGCAGCCCAGAAACGCTGACTGGGGGCCACCACCCCCTCCCACGAAACCCCAGTTGGGCCCCAGGGGCCTGCCGCCGCCTCCGCCCCGCCATCAGGCCCCGGCTGGAACTGGGAGCTCGAGGGCAAGTGTGGGCCTGAAGAGGCCTCTGGGGGATAGGGGAGCTTCCCAGACCCGCACGGTCGGATTTAAATCTTCAGCCCATCAGCTAGACCTTAATATTTGGGGAAAGCAGGCGAGCAGGAGTTTGCACGAAGAGGGGAAAGAAAGCCCAGTCTGGGAGTGAACCCCTCCTAGGGAGGACTGTACACCTGGGGCTTGGGACAGCGACTTGGGAGTGGCGGCCAGGTGCCCAGGCTGGGTCACGTGCGCCAAGGGGCAGCTGCTGCGGAGATAGATGCCTGCAGAATGTCGGGGAGAGGGGGCTTCTAGTGGGGAAGAGAGAAGAGGCTCTGCCTGGGCGGGAACCTGAGTGAGTGGCTCTGGGGGCCTGTTTCGCACTATAGGAGGCTGAGCTGGAAGCCGAGCGTCAGCCTGCGCTAGGCGCCCACCTCTCATCTACCTCCCCACCAACGCCGCTGCCTCCGCTTCCCTCGAAAAAAAACCCGCCGCCCAGGAAACCGCTGGGGGCGCTCAGACCGCAGCCCCCCCGCCCGCCGCCCCTCGGCGCCCCCACCGCGACCGCCCAACCCACCTGAAGGGGCCGTGGCTGCCAGGGGTACCCCCCCTCCCGCCGACTCCCCCCTACACCTGCGGGCTGCACTATTTATAACTCGGCGCCTATTCCGGGCCTCTGGGCGGGAGCCGGCTGCTGCGCAGTGTTAATCGCCGCCGGGATCTCTGCGCCCCCCAGGGCGGAGGGAGGTAAATTTAGCCACAGGAAGCTCCGGAACATTTTCCAAAACTCCACGTCCCAGGGAGGGCGAAACAGAACCTTTCTGCCCTCAGCAGCTCTCCAGCCAGCCACTAGGCGGCACAGGTCTCCCGGCTCCTCGAACCCAGCTCTGAGGTCGGGTTGCTGCTTTGAAGCAGAGTAGGTAACAATGCTGAGGGCGAAGGACGGAGAGGTACTGAGGGACGGATGTCCCTTGGGCCAGAGAATGGCTAGAGGAATGGCTACACCGCCCCCGAGGCTGGTGAAGACTCTGGAGTAGGGTGTCTCAGCTGGGAGTAACTGAGAAAGGGAGTGGGGATTTCTGCCCACGGAGGGGGAAGTAACTCAAACAAACGAGATGCCAGTAGGCATGCAAATAAGAACCTGTGCCCTTGTTGGGGAGGTGGTTCTCGTGGTCTGGCGCCTCTGTGAAACGTCTGCCACCCCTCTTCCTGCCTGCCTCTCGGTGTTGTTGGGAAAACGTAGATTCCTCCCGAGATTGTTACTATTATATCCCGTGTATTGTGCACTGTTCCTGAGACCACTTCACCGTGGCCCCTCCCCCCCATGTGCCCCTCGCACGCCACCGAGGGTCCTATATCCGACGTAATCCGCCGGGAACTTTGGCTATGAGGCGTCTCTCCTCTCGCCATCCATCGAGACTTGGGGTCGCTTCCAGCCCTTGGTCTTGTCTACTTCTCCGTTCCTACCCAGCCCCTACCCCTTAGGGCCACTAGAGGGCCCCGGAACGCCGAGGGGTAGATGAAGAGTTACTCATCTCTTGGTACCATGCTACCCTTCCCTCCCCGCAAAGAGTTCCAGAGGGAGTAATTCAGACACTCAAAACGTGAGCTTGTTCTAGCTAGGAAGACAACACTGCAAGGGAAAACTGCCGCATCTCTTTTTCTTTCTACAGGAGTGGAGGACTGTGGACCAGAGGTGGTGTCTGTGGGCTGCTCTCTCCTGGCCTCGCCTGGATTAGGTGAAAAACGGCATAGCTGGGACCCCCAAATGAGCCAGGGCACCAAGAACAAGGGAGATTAGGGTTGAGGTGGGAAGAGGGAAAGCATGGAAATGGAATAGCACCAGCTTAGAAGAGGAAGCCACGCTAATTAGGAGAAGCCTTGACTTTGAGATCAGTAAATCTGGGGTCACTGTTATAGACTGAATTGTGTCCCCCCAGAACAGGTGTTGTAAATCCTAACCTCTATGCCTGTGGTAAGGAGCCCTGGTGGCACAGTGGTTAAAGTGATCAACTGCTACTGAAAGGTCTGCAGTTCGAAACCATCAGTGGCTCCGTGGGAGAAAGATGGGCAGTCTGCTTCCGGAGAGATTTACAGCCTTGGAAACACTATGGGGTCACTATAAGTTGGACTGCATGGCAGTGGGTTTGGGTTTTTTGGTTTTTTTTTTTAATGCCTCTGGTTATAATCCCATTTGGGAATGGGTTGTCTTTGTTATGTTAATGAGGTAGCAATAGTAGAGGGTGTGTCTTAAGTCAATCTCTTTTGAGATATAAAAGAGATTAAACAAGCAAAGAGCAGAGGAGAGATAGGGTT